TTTCTCAAGCCTTGGGTCATTCATGTGCTGGTGGCATTGTGGAGGCTGCAGCGCTGTGAGTAGACCTCAACTTGGACACGGCTTGTGTACAGCTTTAACTGGCTAACCTATCTTCCGGGCCCAATCTCAGAAATCCTGCAGCACGGGAGCCGTGTGCACCACCCATGACTTGTCTATAGTTTAGAAACCTCTGGCAGCGTGTCGCCAGAAGCTAGAGTCTTCTTGTTGGAGACACGAGACACAGACGACATGATAGGTTTGTGGCTGCCTGGATTCTGTCCTAACGCAAAAATACCTTCCCCTTTGAGCCCTGCGCGCATTCGAAGGAGACCCTCGTAGCCCAGCTGAAGGGAAGCGAGGGCCCCAGTTTATGTTAGGCAGTTTGTATCTATGGATCTTGCCAGTACGTAACAGTGGCTTGCTTAGGGATGGTGGTCAGAGTTCCTTTGGGGTCCTTCAGCGTGGGGAGGAGGAATCGCTCGCGCACAATTGCAACTATCAGCCATTTGGCATAGTGAGTTTTGTCGTGAAGGTTTTGTGTAGCTTCTGTGTTCGGGTCAGTCTTGTTATCAGTGTTTTTAGAAGGCCTCCACAACAGGGCACATTATGCTGTGTACTTGTTCACATGTATGCACGGGTTCCTGAGTCATAGCTGCAAGAGTACAGCGCGTATATAGCTTCCCAGTTCGCAGCCTCACTACTCAGTGCTTAACGGCTGCAGAATGCTTCACTTTCAGCCTAACGACCATGAGAACGTAGCTCATGGCCTCGCCCTAGTGGTTACTTCTTGACACCGGATAACATACCCAATCGTCCTATGGTGGATACTAAAATTCCTGCATGACCCTAAATACTTAATTAGTATTGTGGGAGTTATGGTCCAATAGTATATCAAGGTCATGCAGGATTTGTAGATGTGACTTTTGATTTCTGATGACCCTCCCTGGCAAAAGCATCATCATTCCTCTCCAGGGCGTGGCCTTTGCGAAACGTGTCGCAGCGATGTCCAGCGATGCCAGAAGGCTAGGACCTCCAAGAGATTCATAGGTTATATTGGGGTTATGTTAGGGTGAAATTGGGGTTACATTGGGGTTACATTGGAGTAATATTAGGGTTATATTGGGGTTATATTAGGGGTATTGTTCGGGTTATATTAGGGTTGCATGAGGTTTTAAGGCATTGGCGGAAGAAGCTTTATGTGTCGTGGGCATGCAAGGATTTTTCTTTGAAAGACGACTAGAAGGTTCCTCAAAGGGGTTGACCGCAAAGAGCTACTACAGAGTATGACAGTTCCTTTCATGCGATGTCCTGCGAAAAGGGGGTTCCCTAATCTTTGAAACTCCTATGCTGATAATGGCAATAGGAATTTTCGATGGCATCAAATATCACGCGTTGTGCGGGCATCATCGCGGAGCGATTGTACACACAGGCTTGTCTGGGTGGGGTTACACAGGGGTCGCTAGTTCTGAGACACGACGATGCAACCTCCTCTGCTTCGGTGCAAGATAGCAGTAATTACACAAACCAATTCGGTCAGATGGAGAACGGACGGAGCCCTTGAAGACAAGCCTAAACGCATTGCTCCTATGGAGGCCGCCGACGACTGCACCGCAGAAGCTCGTGCCAGAGCTGAGGATCCTGCTTGACACCTGCGTTAAGCCGTGCCGCATCTATAGATTTAGACGTGTAGAGCTGAAAGCCGAGACCGGGGCATGAAGACATGCTGCGGCACTGAAGTTGCCAGATCCATCGACTTTCCAACAAGTACAGTGAAATCGTGAAGTCGTCCGAACTGTGCCGTGACATAGACCCCCTTTAGTAGATAGAATATGGGGTATATGGGGATCTTATTATAATATACCCAAAGCCATATTCTATGTACTTAAGGGGGATCTGTACCTGTTTTCTTTGAATTCAGGGGCTGTGCTGAGGCAGGATGCCTGAGACGTCAGCAACCTGAAGCGCTTTCAGTTCTCGGTGATACCTTTACTTCCCTGTCTTGGGCCCGACTGCCCTCAACCGTCATGAATCACAACCCTCCATGCCCCGAAGTCTTGAAGACATTCGAAGACTTTTTTCCCAGACTCGGTCGAAATGCCTGCAGCTGCGACTCGGGGGGGGGCGGCGGGGGGGTGAAGGCCGTCCACCACCCATCAAGACAGCAGGAGCTGCAGAACGCTGATGCGGCACTGAGGGCCAAGGAGGCCACCCAGGAGGCAGCTGAGGAGGAGCTCTCCTCAGAAAGCATGCCTGCCTGGTGTAAGATGATTATTGACAGTACGTATTACAACCTACCTCGTTTGTTCGCAGCCTGTTAGGGTGGAATCTGTGTGTGTCTGCGGCTGTATGGATTTTGATGGGGGAAGTTTGTCAAGGGTCGGAGCCTTGTCCCACCAGATGCTAAGCACGCAGAAGCCAAGTTTGTTGAATCTTCGACAGTCAAGTCATCGTTTTGCAGATGGCCCGTGCCCAGGATGTTGGTAAGGCCCAGAAGGAGCTCGAAGAGCACGAGGCGACGGCATAGCCAGCCATGTCGCTCGCACAGCTAGCCCCATGAGTCATTAGAAAAATGTGAGGGGCTTTGGAGATAATTGCCCAGATCTCCGAAAGTGATTAGCTCGCGATGCCTCAAACCAGTGGTTCTGGAAAGGAGTGCCTGGGGTGGATCCTGATGTTCTTGAGTCAGAGTTCTGGAGTAGTCCCAGTGCCATTATGCTCAGTCCTTGACCTCAGCCCTTTTTTTAGTTGCCTCCTGTGGTTTTCCAACGCTCGCTGACCACCTAATTGCTCATGCACTCCCCAGCTACGAATCTGCTTGGTACATACCGAATACCACCGCGATGGATCAACCGGGCCGGGGAGAGGAGAGAAAGGTAGAAGTTCCTTCCCCTAGCGTGAAACCACCTGCGGTACGTTTTATTTATGCAGAAGGGTCCCAGAAGAGGCGAAGATGACCCGAGCTGGGCTTCTGCGGTTCAACTCGGAGGCAGACCCTTGGACGACTCCAAGTAGCTTCCGGCCATGGGTAGACAGCGATGAGGGTTGCTGGCTTTGGGCAGTTGTAGCGCCGTGATAGGGGATTTGGGCCTACAGGGTTTTCAGCCTGGCACGTTCTGCCGGCTGAGCAAACATACAGTTCCTACAGGAATCAGTTTCTGAGCATCGCGTAGCTTGATGGAACGACACTGGACCCCCGGAGAAACAAATACTTGGATTCCCGGTTCACGCCTTCGAGGTTAGTCGTTGTGTTCAGCAGTCAGATACAGCGCGGAAACCCAAGAAACGTAACTATGAACAGCATGAAACACGCAACTGGCAGCAAGAACGTTTCAAAGCTCAATATGCTCCGAAAAAGTGACCAACAAGGAGTCTTGCCTCATTTGCTGCGACGAGCGCGCGGTGGATGCGGCTGCTACTGGACAGCACGCACCAATGGGCCCAAGGATTCGTTGTTCGAAGTGAAACCCCGTACTTCTTCGAGACTTGCATTTTGCAGGCGTTAGAATGATACGTACAGTTTCCCGTGGCGAGGTACTGGCTTGACTGCTCTTTTGGGCTTGTGTTGCGTGGGCTGTACCAGGCAGGCCAGCTGAGAGGTTGAATGGGATAGATGGTCCAGGTCCATGAAAGTGAAGGTCTGTCAGCCGCCATGGATTGCGAGTCAGATGGCTCGGCCTCGGGCTATGAGGAAAATCTGATAGGGGCTGATCGCCACAAGCTTTTGCAATCACGTGTCTGATGGTTCAGTGCCTCCTTACCTTGTCAGCCTCCATCAACCTCAGGTCATGCTTGGTTGCGGGCATGGCTGGTACTGTCCGGCTTGCATCAATCGCTTCGTCGAGGCTTCTGCCAGATGTGTATATGCCTTGTTTCATCCTTAGCTTTTGCAGGGTGCCTGGGATTTAGGGAGTCCGAAGTCACTTGCTCACATATTGCTCATTGGGAAGACCGCAGTCTAAAGGGTTTTATGTCTGCCCGGTACGTACTGGAACACTGCACCTTATCAACCTATAGTGAGGTGTGCTTTAGGTTGTCCCGTGCCACAAGGCAGACGCCCCAAGCAGCATGAAGCTGTGATGGCAAGGTTGCGTAACTGAACCGCATGGCATGTTATATAGCTCTCATTGGCTTGCAAAGCCTACTGGCTGTGTCGCGCGGCTGACGTTGTTGCGGTCTCAAAGTGGATATATATATATATACGCCCAACGTGACAATCCTATTGCTTTCCGGGCACTGCACGCGAGATTTGCACGCTCGCTCGCAACAAAGTTCGTGGTCATCATCCATGGCCAGAATTTTCATCACCATCATCAAGTTACGAGGCTGAGAAATGGAGTCAAAGCTTCTGCTACAGGCGCGTTTGGAGTCGGGCATCGCCGGAGACATTCCCTGCCCCGATGCTTAGACTGACTTAACAACATTTTGCGGGTGGGTGGACAGCCAGCTGTGTTGTGTAGTTGGGGCGTCCCCTGCAGAGCCCGGATTCCAAGAAGTTCAAGTAGCTTGAATGGTCCTTCAAGCCTGCAAGTGAGGACTCTGGAAAAGCCCTTCCCCGCCCATTGCTACCAATCACTCCTCATGGCTGCAGCTGCAGATGTCCCAAGCTATGAACGTCTCTCTAACCCATGCCAGGCCATGTCAATCCCACGTGGGACCTTCACACTGTGACCCCAGAGCAAATCCCAGGATTGTTCCAAAGCGATCTCAGAGGAAGACTTGATCCGATCCTGGCCGTGTGTGGGGCAAGTTTTGTCAAGGGATATGTTCAGGCTGCCGGGTATTTTTTTTGCGTGGTTTGGCGCTTTTGGGGGGCTCAGGGCCTCCAAGACTTGAGCTAAAGGGCAGAGAGAGGAGGAGAAGGAGTAGTTTCATTTTCATTTGAATTTTGAAGCTGGAAGACAAACTGCGCGAAGAAGACTACTCAAGAATTCCCTACCTCTATCATTGTGAGCTTCCATTAAACGAAGGTCACTTAGCACCTGTGAGGATTGCTTCCGAAGAAAACCGTCTTCCGACTGCATGCCTCCAACATCCTTCGGCGGGCAGTTGCATCTGGGAACGTGGTGAGACCGTGTTGCGGACTCAGTTGGCAGTCAGTGATAGATCTAGGAATGTTGCCCCATGCCTAGCTGTGTTGGCACATGTGTTGGGAGCTGAAAATTCAGGGAATCTCGTGCCCAACCCTACCTGAGGGACAAGTCTCAGCTGTGATTGAGAATCAGTTTGGACATTGTCAAGGCAAAGGCGTGGCAAGGGTTGCCAACAGTCGGCGATAGCCTGAAGCAGATCTGGACCTGAATTTCAAAATCGTCATTCCCATGATGGTTTCTAGCTCTGAGTCATGACAATGGCCGCTTTCCGGCTTCACATGTGCCTTGAAGCATCTGGACCCCTAAAGCAATCCTCTACAAGGTCCGACGCCGGACTGCATCATGAAGAAGGCGTTTCCAGATGCCGACTCTGCGAGGGGCTCATGCCCGCTCTGTGGAAAGGAAGCATGACGCTTGGACCTGAATGCAGGTTTCGGCGGTACCAATGAATCATTTTGTTGCTGGAGGGTTTGGGCTGGAAAAGTTATGAACGAGCGTCAAGAGAACCACTAGCAACTGCGCTCAATGCTATGGCTGCGGAAATGACAATATCCAGAACAGCAAGATCATGTCAGGCAGACTTCCGATTAATTCGCACATACATGAAAGCAGATTTTGAATTGCAGCCTTTGCAGGCCAGCTGCTTGAAACGTATAGATTTGATAGCGGCCTGCTGAGTGTCGGGTCTTGCAAGGATGGTGACACTGAAGGTTGAGCACATCTGCTAGCATTACAGGTCTTCCAGGGAAGCATTGGCATGGTTGAGTATGAGCGCAAAGCAAGTTCAAGGAGCTGAGACTTTGAGGGTGGCGCAGCAAAACTGCCAACGCTGCGCTTCTAGACCTGCAGGTAGGATCCCCTGACAGTTTCTTTAGCTGCCGTTACCATGTTGCAGTAGCTAGAAATACATTGCATAGTGCAAGGGTTCTAATAGTCTAATACTCCTAAGGCCTGGACCTAAGCCTAAGCCTGATCGAAGCCCACGCGCACAACCGGCTAATGGGAGTTCACTCCGTGTTGGTATGGATGCTTATCATAGTAATCATGAAATGCACCCTGGGGTCGCAGTCAAGCAGCATGTTTCCAGACGTTGCTGGCTCCACTGATGTCAGGCTGGATGTGTGGTGCCCAACCGTATCACGAAGGCACGGGCCTGCGCTATGAATTTCAAGTTTGAATCTGCTGAAATATCCGTTTCCTTTTGGGGGCAGAGGAGGTAATCTAGGGTGGTCCATGGGGCCTAACATGTGGCCCGTATAGATCAAAACTGCTGAAGGCCCAAGGAACGGCACTGTCTCACACTTCCCCCGCCGTTTCCCACACAGCGAAACCGAAACCCCGAAGTCCATGCGACACTTGCCTACAGAGTTTGGCTCAGACTGCTAGACAAGCATTGCCAGACGATTTCTGATCATTTTGGTCTTTGCCCCATAGCCATGGGCTGTACGGCCAGTACTGCGACTGAAGGCGGGCGCAAGAAAACGGCCCAAAAAACAATCGAAAAGGAAGTCAGCAGCACGGATTTGTCAGTGGAGGCGAATTCTTATGAACGGGCGAAGAGCTTCAACTCGATGAATGACACCTCCGCGTCAAGCGACACCATCCATGCTTCTTCTCCAGGGAAGCGCACCCATGATGCTTATGTCAGACGCCTCGACAAGCTCCTGAAAGAGATTGAAGCCACACCAGCTGCTCTAGTTTGTGAAGTTTCGATCAGACGACAGGAGGCGTAAAGAGATCGCTGTCATGGTAGAAGCCAGTCATGAGACCCAGCTTTCCCCTTTTCCAGGCAGATGCCGAGTTCCATCCTTGGGTTCGCATCCTGGTCTTTACAACTTCCAGCCAAATTCCTCATGTTGCTTTTGCTCGGGAAGGCCGATGGTTGGGGTAGGTAAAGTCTAGTCCCGATAACATTCGTGCCGATTCATGCCCCCAAACAAGGCCTTTCTTCCTGTCAGAAGTTCTCAGGAGTCACGCTTCCTCCTGAAAACGCCGCTTTAGGCTCTTGGAAGTTCATTTGAAGCCTGCAACTTCACTCGCAGGTGAGGGTGATCTTCTTTTTCTCGAGGTATCATAGGGCAATCAGAAACCTGATGGCTGAGAGGAAACACAGTGGACCGTGACTTTGACGTCAAGCTTTTGTTTGTACCATCTGCACATTAGCTAGCATATGCACGGTTTGTCTTTCATTGCCCGCATTTATAAAGTCTCCTCGAGAATCAAGAGCTCGCATGTTAATGTGTTCGCATGAAACTTTCATGGAACTGTTGCGCAAATTCGTGTGTGCAGCACGCTTTGTTTCACCCAAGCCTGGGCGGTTAGAAGGACTGTTCTGCGCACGCAGTGTGCCTTCTCTGCGCCCCAAGCTTTTCAAGGTCATGCACCTGCAGGTTTAGGGGCCTTACATGAAGGAGAACGAGCTCCCCCCCTTATGAACGATCGCCGAGGAGGATTCATCGCTTGGAGTTGTTGTAAAGAGTTAGATAGAGGCCCAATTAAATTGTGCTGCACAAGCAACACAAACCTATGAAATGAGGAGGTCTGTAATTCTAGTCAGATTTCCTCGAGGTCTCTGCTCTTTATAAATGTTCTTTCATAAGCACATTAGAAAACAATTCACGCTATCCCTGAGGCTATATGATTCGTTTTTATGACCGCCCCCTTACGCAGCTACCTCGGAACCCCACCTAATGTATTATTCTGCCAAACATTAAAGAATGTTGTTCTTCAAGGATGAACTTCAAAGATTCTAGGCTCTCTGGGAGAAGTATCTGTTCTTAAGGCTGGTTATCAGGGGGAAGCGATTACTCTCCTTTGCAGGCGCCATTTCCCGGAAGCGTTTTCCTGGAAGTTGCTAGTCCTGCTACAGCAAGGATTTTGCTTCGCGGCTGGTGGCAATGCGACTGGTCCACAGGCCCAACAAACCGCCGAGACCAGTAGTTGTCCACATACGTGGTTTTTAGTGCCAGCGGTCTCCAAGCCACCCCATACGCTCAAGCCTTTCCTGCCTTGACTTGAAGCAAATACAATCGAATTGTCAACTTGTGGTTGTGCCGGTGGAGGCTTGGACCAAAGCGGAAGTCCCGCCAATCCGATCTGCAGCCTTCGTGTGGATTCACGGTTTTCGCGGCCCAGCCAAGCTCGGGTCGCTTCTCTCTTTTTTGGTGTTTCTCGCATGGCAACCGAACAGCTGTTAGCCACAAAGCGGGAGTACAACTTTGGGCCACGGAGTGCTTCGACTTGTCGGCAGTGATGCTGTTCGCCTTTTCCGGCGCGGGACTTCCGCAGCTTCCGGAAAATTCCAGCAGCCATGTTGTCGCGGCACTTACCGCCCGCATGCCCTGGTGCTCACTTTTGACACTTAAGATTGTTTTTAGTGTGTAAGTATCAATTACAGGGAAAAGCTGACCAAGTCCACAAAGGCCTGGCCTGGCGAAGAATAATCTAGTTCTCGTGACAGGGCTCATGCGATCTGGATGGGAAGGCGGAAGGTCACGAGATTTCTAATTCCTTGCTCACGTTTCAAGGATCAAGACTGCCAAAAGCATGCTTGGCGCTTGCCAACACGTGTCTCCTTTTTCAATATTATCCACTGTTGGTGTTGATCTTGCCTTTATCCTTGAAGGGTGGGCTGCCGGCTGACGTAAAGTCCAGGCTTCGCCATTTCGGAGGCTGCAAGAGATGCATGGCAAGGTTCCAAGGTTTGACATCAGATTTGGAGGTTGCCTCAGATTAGGGGTACTTTTATAAGGGGTCCCCAGAATAAGGTCGGGGTCTATATTGGGGTCCCCTTATTTTTGGGAAGCTGGCATTGGAGATTTTGAGTTGAGAGGTTGGTCTCATTGTGGATTGTTGCGGCCCCGCAGGCGCAGGGTCTGGTATTCAGCTTGCTCCAAGCGCCGGCCGGCACATAGACCTGCATGGTTCCGAACGAAGGTAGGGCGCCCTTTCAGTAGCCCAAGAAGCAATACCCGCCAATCCCCAGATATACAGGGCAAATAGGGTTTAAGGATTGAGGGTTCAGGAAAATCAGGTCATAGTAGCGGAGAATGGAACATGACATGGAAAATTGAATGAACACTGGGGTTTATATAGTGGTCCATGCTCGAGAACCAATGGTCACCGCGTCGGCTTGGACATCGCAGCTTTCACCAAATATTTTGAAGTCGGAAGGTGGACGCGATGAGTCTTTGAGCAAAAAAAGTTGAACATTGTTGCAATCCTGCTCTATCTTCAACTTTCGCTGCACGAGTAGGCTGCGTGAAATGATACGGCAAGTATTTTCATTGCGTCGCCCAGCGCAGTCATAATTTCAACTTCAGCTGATGTGCACGGTGAAGCCTTTTGCTCCATGCATGGCCAGCAGCTGCGGCATGTCTCAGTCTTGAAAGTAGGAGGACTGCATTGAAGTGCTGTTCGTGAGGAAATTTGCAGTATGACAGGCCAAACATGCGAAGAGCATCGAAAGAAGCAGCGGGCCGCAGACGATGAAGACAGCCACTCACTGGACCGTGTATTATAAGTATCGCGCTCATCACGTTATTCTTCTTGTATTTCCTCTCGGCTGTCACTGCTATGACCACGAGAAGCATAAGTACTCCTGCTACCTGTGCTGCCCTTTGCTAGCACACCACTACCACCACTGCCGCGGCTGGCACTGCCAGTGCCATAGCTGCCACTACCGCAACCACCGCAGCCGCCACCGCCCACGCCCCGACCCGTCCACTGCCACCGCAGCCGCCGCCACCGAGACCAGCCGGCCACCGCGCCACCGCCATCGACGGTCACCACCATGGTCACGATACTTCCCACATCAAAGCAGCAGACACAGCAGCCAGCCCCCGCCGCCACGACCGCCACCAACACTACCAACGCCACCAACGCCACCAACACCATCAACGCCAACACCACCAACACCAACACCGCCAACAACACAAGCAGCTACAATCGCAGCAGCAGCAGCAGCAGCAGCAGCAGCAGCAGCAGCAGACTGCCATGGCTCGCGGTGTGATGTCAGGATTGACAGTAAGGGGTGATCATATCCAAGTGACAGAGTAGCCAAGAAAATGATGTCCAAAGTTTTCGGTGGAGCAAGCCCCCGCTGAAGTCTCAGGTTCACAATTTCCATTTGGAGTTCGCAGGTTGTCTTTTTACAGGCGGGAGCACTTGAGGTCAGGAGTACGTTGCAGACAGAATCTCGAATGTGAAGAACAGATACAAGCAAAACAACGCCACCTGAGTAGTGCTTGCTTCTGGACTTCTTTTGCTGGGTGTGCATGGGGATTAATGATCACCTTCAGTGCGCACATGACCGGGACCTTTGTGCAAGTTCGGATCTGGCTAGCAAAAACTAGGGAATTTCCAACCTTACCCCTACTATGCACAGGCTCTCTAAATCTCGAAGCCTCA